GAAAAGCCGAGCTGAATAAAGCAGCAACTATTCATACTGCTAGTGATCTGACTGCTTCAACTTTAGCGCAAAAGTGCATGATTGCACCGGCAAGCCTGGTGCATCGCTGTCCGTGTTTATGTTTGTATTGCTATTTTTCTAAGTTTCTTTTACTCTACATTTATTTTTTCCATCTATTTATAGCTGCTTATATGTCTAACAAGAATGTTTACACGCTCTCGTTGGGGCTAGTGGTCGGGAAAGGGTGGGGGAGGGGGGAGGAAAGAGAGAAAAGCAGCCGGGGGTGGGGACGGTCGAGAATGACGATAATGATTGCAGTCTGACAATATTTTCAGGAATTTCGAAAAAAAAGCAGTGAGCAACAAGTGTATATGTAACTGATACCTTATAGTCAGTGCTCGGTACTTTGTAGGAGCTGTACTGATCAATAATGCATTCCTTCCTTTTCGCGAAACCCTTGTAGGAGTCTTCATTCCACCAGTTCTGTAAGTTCCCATCTTTGTCATATTGGCTACCTGAAGTTATGCTATTAAACCAAAATACCGAATTTTCCTGAAATATTCAGAGAAAAAGAAGACAAAAAGGCAGCACAGCACTGACCCGCATTAATTTGAGCGTGTTTTTCCAAATTTAAAAAGCATTTTAAATAACACATTACACTTTTGAAACTACTGAATGGTAAACAGACGTAATGGATGGGTAGAACGATGAAATCCAAGCATCTCTCTGAAGTAAGTAAGGACTGGTAAGGCAAAAGGAAATTTGTGTACACCTTGATCATCGAATCCATGTGTAATTTCGTGGCCTATCACGGCACCAATCGCACCATAATTTACCATCCTGAAAAACGAAAAATTATAAAAAGCATTCCCCATTATCAAGTCTTGAATTGGCGAGTATGGCGTTGCAATAAATGGCGCTGCTCTCATGCTTAACGCCCAGGTTTGAGTCTGCCAACATAACAGCCAGTCGTTCTACGATTCGTCCATTCGTTTCAAATCACTGGCGGCGCACACCAGGCGAGCCCGTGCGATCTTGTGTTTTTGCAGTGTTTCGTGATGTAATGAGATCGCTCCAAAACCCAGTAACTAGAAATCTGTGACATACTGGTTCTCGAATTTCGGACAGTTATTTGTCTACGCTGTACTTGGACAGGAAACGCTCCCTTAAAAATCTCAAGTTCTAGATTTCCCAGTCTCCGAGTTATCCATATTCCCGCCAAAAACTTTCATGGGGCCGTACATGAAAACCCCGCATGCCCGGGGGCTGAATTTGATAATTTTAAGTTGTG